CTAATGGTAAACATTTGGATGTTGCTTTAGCAGAGGTCGTACTGTAAATGAATTTTTCAGAGTTAGATTTCTTAAAAAAATACCACAAAAGCTATAATTACAGAAAAAAAAAATAAAAAAGTAATAATATAAGATATGTAAAATAAAACCTTGTGGGATTCGAAACGCAATACTGACGTTTGTAAGGAACAATTTTGTTCAGATCGACTGCGTCGTCTGACTATACTATATGGGAAAGAGTTTGAATGCACATATGTTTGCACGTATACTAGGGTGGTCCAAAATTATAGAGGAAAATCCACTTTTTAGAATATGTTTTCTTGCTGCCTCTTCATAGAATTATAGAAAATGTAAAATAAGCAGACTTATTTTTATACCTTTCATGAACATGAATATATATATTTCAGTTCTTGTAAGGCTTGAAATAAAATATTTTGCACCAGCCTAACGTACTAGACCTATGTATTTGCAAATCAAAACAACCGACTTTAAATCCACACCCCTTACCCGTCAGTCGACGCGCCACATGCCAAGCATACTTATATACATACATATGTACATATGCATGCATTTGCTTACATGACAGCATTTTGACAGACTCCGGCACAGCATTTGGGATTTAAATATAGCTCTTACACACACACACACACACGTCCATGTTAAAGTATAAGCAAAGGTCACAGGCTGAACGCCTAAAAATGTGCAACGACAGATTACACGCTCTGAGGCTAATCGCAGCAGTTGCCAAGTTTCTGCGCGGATATCTACAAATATTCATTAGTTGTTTTTGTTATTAGTCATATAAGGTATGTATATAATTGCCTGGGTAAATGTTTACTTTTGTTTGTTGGTGGAGTATTCGTTGTTTACTCGTGACCTCGTTAAAGGTGAAAAGTTTGCCTGTCAGACAAGCTAGGAAAAATTAAAAGCCAAAAAAAAATATGTAAGCAGATTACACGCACATTAATGCCAGCAAGTAAACATACTGAATAGACGCATACAAGGTGATACGTATATTAAAATTGGGGGGGGGGGGGGGTAAGACTTTTTGAAACATTTAATTTTTTTTAAGTATATTCCAATATTCCACGAAGTTGCCTAAAATAAATATTTCATCTGCGAAAAGACGAAAAAAACATATTTATGTTGAACATTTTTACACAATAAATACTCCTCGGTATTCCAAGCCGAGGAATTTTCTATTCTTATGGCCGTGGAAATGCAGGAGTACTGACCTCCAAGCCGCACTCAAAGCATTGCACCGCCCTCCAACTACCTACTGCCAGTGTCGGCTAAATTATGTTGTAAAAGACAAAGAACTTTTTTAAAAAAAATAAACTTTTAAAAAGGTAGCAACCCCACTCAAAAAAACACAAAAGCTTGGTACCTCATTTTTTAGTCAAACGAATGGTCAAGATCTTTATTTTTTTAAACAGGTGACAACCCAATTAAAACAAAAAACATAATGGAATATCTGGAGGCCAAGCCCTTTGATTTGAAACCTTATTTTTGGTAATCCAACGAGCGGTGCGTATCTTATAATTTTCTAGTTGGTTGAAAACTCTATAAAAATTCTAAGTACTAAGGAGAATGCCCCTGTCGAAATCCGTTCCGGAGCTTTCGAGATTAGCATGTTGAAAAAATCTCGACTTTGCCCTATACGGTGTAGGAAAGATATATGAACAAATCTCGTAGATGATTTTAGTTTAAAGTCGTGCCCCTTTAACATGTGCGTGTGTGTATGTGTTTGTACTCATGCATGCCTTTGTTTATTGTGCATACAGAATTTTGTATGAAATTAAAATCCATGTACAAACAAGACAGAAACCAGCTTACGTAAATTTTTATATGTATGTATGTATATAGAAAGGTATACTTATGCTCGATTATATGTGTATATTTGCAACTGAACATGCCCACTAGAACCTGAAGGGAGATCTCCCTATGTGAGGAATAAAAGAGTACTCCCCTTAACCTGATTTCTGAGCAATAAGGGAGATTTGTCGGTTTTGTACTCCTTTATTACTCGTTTAGGAATCAAATAGGAGATCTCCTACACGAGCGACGAAATAATACTCCCCGAGGCATGATTTGGGAGCAATAAACGAGATTTGTCGGTTTTGTCCTCCTGTATTGCTCGCTTAGGAGCGTAATGAGAGATATCCTAAGCGAGCAATTAAAGAATGCTCCCTGATGCATGATTTGGGAGCAATAAGCGAGATTTGTCGGTTTTGTACTCCGTTATTACTCGTTTAGGATTAAAAAGTGATGTCTCCTAAGCGAGAAATCCAAGAGTCTTCTTTTTGATTGATAGGAGAGCAATACGCACCTCGTTCAAAAGAAATTTTGTGTTTTCGAAAAAATTTATCATAGAAAAAAAAAACAACAGAAAATATTTCTTATAGGCGCATAAGGAGGACACAATAATCTAATTTGGATAGCACACAGATTTTAATAAAAGTCCGTTGGTATGTACCTCAACTTTTGTTTAAATATTTTAAGCATTGTATTACTTACAAATATACCGTTAAATACCTTTCAGATTGCGCAAATTAGTGTTTGCATTTAAGTGTGACCCCCGGGTTTAAACATCGCATGGGTGACAAAGATGTCAGATAAGAAAAGTCACTTCCACAATTTCACCGCTTGGTGGATTCCTGACCAGGTAAGCATCCTTGACAACCAGGAAATCATATACGAGTACATACTTATATGTGCATATCTTATCTTACCGTTTTGTTATTATTACGTTTTACTTTCATATGATTTCTCTGCAATATAATTCTAAAATTAAGCAATTATGTAAGACGTATAATTTATGTTTTATCTGATCTCGTACTTATATCTGTTAAGGTCTTGTAAAATTAGCACAAATGCACGTGATTAAAAAGTTAAATAAAAAATTTCATAAATAGCAAAATCTATTTGGCTAATTTAAAATGTTCGTTATCATTTCTCTCTTATTACTCCTATAGGAGGCTTTCGGGATGCCTTTAATGGGAGCACTCTCTTATTGCTCGTTCGGGAGGTATATGGGATGTTTTCTATGTGCACTCCCTTGTTGTCTTTTTGGGAGGTTTCTGGGAGGTAACTATGGGAGTACTCCCGTATTGCTCCATTAGAAGGTTTGTGGGATGATAATTCTGTGTGTGCTCCCCGATTGCTCGTTTAGGAGGTAAAAGGGATTACTCCCCCTCCTAGGACATCCAATGTTAAAGGGAGTATACAAAATTACATGCTTATACACAGAAGCATAGGGAGCAATGGGGAGTATTAGTATACTCCCAAGGGAGTACTCACCGAGCAATCGTACGATGCTCCCAAGTTCTACTGGGTGTGTACACTCTTGAGCAAACAAATTTGTACACATGCGGCACAAGCTCATACAAACACACACACACACACACACATGTCTCCATGTTTTTGTTAATATTCAAAGTTTTGCAAATACCAAAAGTTGTGAAGCTAATAAAAAGCGTGTCACTTTAATAATAACAAAAAAAAACAAATGGCAACAAAGCTAACAAGCTAAGTGAAAGCGAAAGTCGCAGCGGGTAATCAGCCTAAGAAAAGAAATTTAGGTTACTCACAGGAAACTAAATTAAGCCCCATTCTCCAGCGTGCAATGCGAATGGCGAGGAGATTAAAGTAAGAGAAATTGTGAATTTCTAATTTAAGCTACAATTAGTTGAAGGCAACAAAGGCAAAGCTTAAAGAAATTTAAACAAAGGAATATATACAAATGTTTTGGGCTAATTGAGGTTAGATACCAAAATATTTTTTTTTTTAGAAATTCAACATTTTATATAAGTGATAATGTGAACTTGACAAAAAAACACCGATACTGAGGATGGAGATGATTTTTATATAAACTTTTAATAAATATTTCCCTTAACGAAAAACTAAGACTCCTTAATTTTTTTAGTTACGGCGCACAGTGTTCTATTTTGGAAAAATCAAATATCCCGAGGATAGCTAAAGCTTTTTAAATTTATAATTCAGGAAAAATTGTCTCCTTGGGCCTTTTACTGCCTTCAAAAAGAGAGGGCTTTAACTTCTTTCTTTTTTTTCGACAAGAAACTAGTATGCTATGTACTTTTTAAAAGTTCTTAGTACCTATTTTAGCAGATCTTCCGTCACGACCTCCATTTTCATGGTCGGGTTTTTTTAAGTTCATTGCAGTTTGTTTTTAGGTAAATAAAAATAAAAATAAAAATAAAAATAAAAATAAAAGTAAATAACTTCAGAAGGTCTACTATACCTTTAAAGAAAACATTTTGGGTTTTTTTCTGTTTTTTTTTTTTGACTGAAAACAGCCCTTGGACTTGGTAAAAATAAAAGTATATTTTTCCGTTCTCCCGGCCATGAAAATGAATTCCTTGACGCACCAACGGCAAACACGTATATTTAAACTTTTAAAAAGTCCATTCCATACTGGTTTTAGGTCAAAAAATAAAAAAATGTAATCTACTATATTTGAAGGTTATTTTATAGGTCACAGTAATTCTTTTATCCAAAGGGACTATTTTTTTCTAATTTGCCATCTAAAAAGCTCTAAAATGCTGTTACATTTATTTAAATATCTCTTCTCATTCGCGATATCTGATTTTGCGCCACTTTTTTGCAAAATAGAACACAGTGCGGCCCCTTTCATTAGTTGCTTTAATGGCTTGTGGCACCAAGCGAAGCTAAGGTGTTTTGAATTTTCGCTTGGGATTAATGATCTACCTGTGATTACGCATATCTCTCCATGGTTTATATTCATTCCAACACATTCACTTCTGAAGCAATACTCCGAAATGCAGCCGACAAATTGTTGCCATGTGAAAGAGCTTTAACTTTTTTTTGCAATTTCATTTGCTTGAAATGTTGGAAGTTACTAACTTAAAGTGAATTTCTTCTCTTTACATGCGAATGCTGTTGCCGGTGCCATCATCATCATCGTCATCATCATCGTCGTCGTACTTTTCTGCTTTCTACCACACCCCTTTGCGGGGCAGATGAGCGTCATTTTCAGTTACATTGGTGTTAGTATTGTGCTATTCTTTGTTTCCCGCTTCTCACCGTACGAATGGCGCATTGTGCAATATCAGACAGGTAAGTGTTACAGGAATGCTTCTTGTACGTAAATGGATTTGTCAAATGCATGCACACACATACTTAAAAAGAGTAATGGGTATGTATGTACGTGTAGTTATACTTATTTATGTGCATACGGATTACAAGTGGAATGTGGAAAAAGAATTCTTGGTGAGCAGCGCTTTTAGGTTTACACATAATTTTGTTTAAAAATTTCGCAAAATGTTATGAATGAACTCAGAGGCGAAATGCATTTGTAAAAGCAATAACGAGTGAAACTTTTCTAATATAAATATTTTTCTTTTTAATAACACAAGCGTAGTTTCTTCCCAACCCCTAAATGACATTAAAATGTGCAGGAGTTCTGGCGATAAAACTTTGAACCCATCCATGGTGAAATTATACCAGGTGTAGTAAATATAGCGAGACAAAAAATTCAACACTATCTTATTTGAAAATGCATCTTTCAAAATTTCTTTCCTTCTTTCAAGCCGCTTTTAGCGTACCGAATTCACGTCCACTCTCGAGCACAAAAAGCAGATCTAGGACCACGTTGTAGAATAAGGAAAATGACAACCCTACTATGAAAAAACAAGCGAACTATAAAAGATCGTAGTAGGACTTCTGGTATCGTTGAAAAGATTTTGGAGGCATAGAGACTTCGGAGTATTCTTGACATTTCTGACTACCCCTTAAGTGTTTCACAAATATGCTAAATGTAGTAAATTAACTGAAGACAGCAAAGGAAAAACTCGAGGCTCTCCACTTTCCGGATGGAACTAAAATTTAATGGGCTATAAAACTATATTCCTAAAATGGTTGCAAAAACCTCGAAGAAAAAAGTTAAATGTTTGTTATAATTTTTTTAAACAGGTGTTTGTAATAAAATGAACTGGACTTTTATAAAAAAAATTAATATGACTTAAATAAACCACCAAAACTTTCTTTGCTCACAAGAGTATATGAATTGTAAATACCGTTGAACTAAATAAAAAAATATTTACCATATTTCCAAATATTCATTATCAGATAACTGAAATATATATCCAAATGCATAAAACTTGAATTCTAACAATCATCTAATACAAACAATAGCGAAAAACTAAAAAAAAGTGGTGAACTCAAAGGATCACAGCATTGTAAACAACGACAGGAGCAGGTTAACGGTTAAATTGCTTGTGAAAGAAGTCATAAGTTAGGGCTTGTGCTAAGTGCAAAGTTGTACCGAAAGTTAGAAACCATGGATCCTCATCTTTCTGTTGACTGATGGATATTAGGAGCCAAAAAACAAGAAATTTGTTTAAAGTTCGCGAAAAGGACCAGTTTTACAATGTCAGGTTATCACTAACTACAAGTTAAACATTTTTATCGACGTTTTCCATTCCCTATTAAATGTTATGGAGTCGATCACTTCGATTTCGATGTTTAACCTGCAGCTAGTGTTAACCTCACATTAAGAAACTGGCCCTAAAATGTATACATACTGTTGGCGTAAAATCTTATCGATAGTTCAAAATAATCATACCAAACAAAAAAGCCTTAAACAATTTTTTCAGAAGAAGACTAAAATCGTTTCCCTCTTTTATACCACTTTCATAACATTTCGGATTCTTGTTTGTCCACACATCGTTGCAAGAGATATTATAGTAAAGAACATAGAACATGCAAAACTAGTCTAACCATCTACCCCGCCGGAAGTATTTAAATGTTTCTTATCCGCATTATTATTACTGCGCCTAAAAATATGCACTACGCTGCACCGGAACTGCACGACACGCCACTGTATGCATTTGTTTGAATAAAATTAATTGCTGCTCATATAGGCCGCACAAAGCAAAACTCATCCTGAAGAGAAACAAAGTTTTTCGACCGAAAAATATTGATTTTCAAGAATTTTATACCATTTCTACAAAAAATTGTTTCTCCCCTTAGAACATATGTATGTAGATATGTATATGGAAAACTTCATGGGCTTTGAAATACTATGTATCTAAACACATAAAAATATGGGTATATTTTTTCCATTCAGAAAAACCCTAGGGGGTGAGAGCTTAACATTTACATTTTTTTTTTAATATCAGAATACCGTTGATTTATTTTAATATCTATTGCAAAATTACACGATCCTAGGTTTATTAATCTCAAAATTTTTTAATAGATAATGACTTTTGCTAAAATCTTAAAATCAAAATTTATCGAAACAAATTTTATGGGACTAGGAAAAATTAATTTCTCATTTTTAGTACTTTTACAAGAACTTGGTATATTAAAACGTTTATTAATTTGATTTTTCTTTTTTTGTTTTAATTTACTCTGTTTTGTGAATCATTGTTGATTTTTTTTTTAATTTCGTTAACTAAAGTCAGAAATATATATTTTCTATCATCCTGGGAGAAACTTTCTTACGAACACGAATATGGAAGCTTCAAAATCGCATAAATTTAACCTCTATTTACATTCGGTTTCTACTCTTGTATCTTCAACTCTCATAGTTAGCTTTTGAATCAAAAATTTAACTCTAAAATTATAAACTAATAACTTCATTTAATTTTTTATAACTCCACTAATTACTGTGTTACTGAGGTCGGAGTGCGCAAGAGTCTTAATTTTCTTTGCTCTAAAATTAAACAAAAATACAATTTCCAATTCAGGTTTAACATTTTTAATTTTTTGTTTAATTACATTAATTTTGTGAACTTACATATTTCAAAATTCGTGTTTGCTAATTAAAATCGCATAGAGCAAAGTTCTTCTATTTTAAATAATAACAACTCAATCTACTTTCACTTCGTATATTTACCAAGCTTAGTACTTTACTTAAAATTTCAATTTCCTTTTTGTTTTTGTCTCCTCTTCTCTTTTGCTATTCGGCAATCGATTTCCTTTCCAACGAATTCATAGACTCCCTTTGCTGCTACACTTAAAATGCTCGTAGCTAATTCTATACGTACGTACGTGTGTATGTATGTATGTATGTGCATATGTGACGAGCAATTCGATTGGCAATTTAGCAGCAATCCTGGCCACAAATCACAAATCCTTTCAATTAGGATGCGTTCATTTAATTCACTCGCTCTAATCTGGCTCCACATCAAAGTCACAAATTATAGTGACATAGGATGCAGGCAAGCAGGGCGGACAAGCAGTCAAGGAGTCATGGAAAACCCAGCATTACAGGCAGATGTACATATGTACATCACTATTACTATATAGTTTGCTATATGTATGTACATATGTATGTATGTATTTAGTCATGCAAATGCCAACGAGTTGTCTGACTTACTGAAATATTTCCATGTTGTTCATGTTGTTGCTTCGCGCCAACAGCAGCAGCAGCAGCAGAACATCTATCAGATGAAGGCTGTGCCTTAATTTAATTTCTAAAAGCTTTCTCTGATGTACATATGTATACACATAAAGGCGCATACACATACATATGTAGTATATGCTTTCATATACATATATTTACATATGTGTATGCATGGTTGTAGCCAAAAATGGCCAACAACAATTTTCGTGCTGCTAACGAAATTTCATCATCCTCACTTACTAGATTTAGTTCGGCCCTTAGTGGGATGACGGTGCTTTGAACCGGCCGGACGTCGAATACATATGTACAAGTAAAATAATCACGACATACATACAAGTTTACTTTTGCAGTCTGCAGGAAAATCGAATGGTAGGCAGTTAAGGCTGCAGTTTCCAGTTCCGTATCGAAGGGGGTACTGCTGGATCTTTGCCTCAATTTTTAATGCCAACGCAAAGCTCCAACGCATCCTTTGTTTAATATAAAAGTTTTTCGGTTTCATAGGTTAAAATTATGCTTGGTTTTAATTATGAGACGAAATCTACTTCTGTCGCCATTGACATCAAAACTAAAGAGCTGGATCTGTAGTTTACGGTATTCGGGTTGTTATTGTCAACAGTATAGAGCTTTCAGTTTCAGTGAATGGTTTTCAAAGTGGGCATCTGGATATTAAGTACATACTATCAATAACCAGCCGCTCTACCTATTATCTCTTTCAAATGCTATGGATATTAATTATTTCATCCACCTTGGATAAGAATATCACATCCTCTCCCGAACGAAAAGAGAAGCTTTTTCCATCGATTTTTCCCCATATCCTTTAAAAGCTCCAAACAACATATAATCACTTTCACAAACCCTTTCTGATGTAACTCTTTGTTTTGTGGTGGTATGTCTTCAGCAAAGGCAATGGTACAAATTTTCTTGCCACTCAACACACCCCCATGCTACAACTGGACCTATTTCTTCCTAAACAGCAAGCAACCCTTGCTTTAGAGTCTGCTTCACTTTTTAGCGCATCCCTGAAGCATCACAATAGGTACTTGAAAACATTGATTTTCCATTGCTGCCAGACAAAAACCGAAACAAGAGAAGCTTAACTGAGTATATTTGATGGGAAATGTAATAGTTAATTCACTAGCTGTATAGGTACTTATTTAGTATGCTCAGCTAGGTAGCTAGAAATTTAACCTTCCAGCCCTTCCAGTGCTGCATATGAAACTTGGCTCCAATTAAGGCATCCACAGGGCGAGAGCTCAAGAAGTTGATTGTAGGTCTGAGTGAATGCCTTTTAAAGTCTCTCTGTACACTATCGAACCCTGAGTTTGTTTATTGTATGACTGTATAGAAACAATATTCTTCTCTTTTTTCATTGCATTGTTTAAGTCCGTCAAATCCGCGAACCCTGCACAGCTGCAAAAATATCTAGAGGTATCGTGTTTGTGGCCGGCTTGCAATCGTGCGTGGAGAGTCATCGGTCTTTCTTTATTGCGAAGGCCAGAAAGAGATCTAGTTTTTACCTAAGGACTTGAAGCCAATTAGTGTATCTTTATTTCTGCTGAAGACGCTAGAATGACCGATTGATCAGCATACGGAACTGATCTTACTCACAAGTAAGTACTTGTGATTTTTATTCGCTTGCCGTTTTCTCAGAGGATCAAGTGCTTAGTCCTTGTCCTTATGTTGCTGAAGAAAAGCTGTAGGTAAGAGATAAGGTATCTCACCCAAAGTAATAACTTAGCTCTATGAAACCTTAGTGAAGCCTATTATGCTTTATGGGACTCAATCCACTGGCATTTGCTTAAGACACGCTAATCAAACACATAGAGTTCGGTCGTCTTTAGTATTTTTAAAGTTTTTAAAAGCTGCAGCTCTCTGCATCGAATATTCGTGAACCGGTTGTTAGGGACATTCTAAAACTCTGTTTCACTGTAATTTTTTGGCTTCCAGACTCGCGTAACGTTTCCCCGGCACATATGGTGGAATTAAAGAAGCAGTAGACACATTGTTCAAGAGTGTAACGCCAATAAGGAAGGAGCTCAAAACTGAGGGTGCGCAGGAAGTGTTTGACTTCTCTCTCAGTTGTGTCGCAAAAACCTGCATGGCTGACGATTTGGCGAGAAAAGGTAACCTTGAAACGATACCAACCGACAAGAAGTAGATTTGAGCGCCATTTACGACCTGGGGTTCACTTTTGGGGAAGTGGGCTGGAAATTAACTCCTTGAACGCTGGGAGAAAACTAGAACGTGTGCAGTTTGCAGATTCTTCGTTTAAATTAGCTTTTTATTTGAGATCAAAAATCGCATATAAACCATATTACCTCAGTTAGCTGGAGGATAATGAAATGGAATCACTTCGACACAATCTTCTGTACAGCTTTAGGGGAACTTACGATTTCAGTTGCAGTGCAGTTTTGCAGTTTACAACCAACCCAGGACCAAGTGGTCTCGGAGAACGACGTAAACCCTGTCAGCGGTCTCGCGATTAGCCTGCAGAGTTTCATCGATTGAGTAGTGGTTGTCGTTCAAAATCATATGGTATCACAAATGGTCCAAATATATATTCAACTGGGGACGGTCACCTAAACCAGCCTTACTTAATCTAGAAAAATCGAAACGAGCTTGGCTCGAGACTCCTAAATAAAAAAATTTATTATATTTTACTTTACATACATTTTCCTGCCAGGTTATAACTTGTAATCCGTATGCGTGTTCAACTCATAGTTAAATACTAAAAAGGAATTCGGAAGCAGCGTAAAAAGGCAAAAATGTAGGAGTAAATTGCCAAAAGCAACTAAAAAATAAGGAATAACCGCTACGAAAGAATGATGGTACGAAAGAACTAAATGGCGAAAATTCTTCCAAAAATAGTAGTAACGGCAAAAGTTGAATGCGAGATGCCGCAAATGCCTTGCCACATATGGCATACAGCGCACGTACTAGAGCACATAGCATGCTAAAGAATTTGGCATGTATGTGCCTATGTGGCATGCAGGGCCTGACTTTGTGCCGCGCTCAGCGTGCGATATGCGGTATTCATAGGCGCCCAATTTAATAGTGACAGACAACCTTTTCGTTAGCGCCATAACCAATGAAGCAGACACAATGCCCAATAGGCACGCGTACACACATAAATTCGCACACAAGCGCCGGGAATAAACGGCTGCTGTTTTTGAGCTGCATATAAATGCCAACAATTTGCTGTTAATGCCACCAATACACAAATACTGAGTAAACAAGTCAACACACATACGCAACCACATATATTTGTAGGCCTATGTGCACATGTACATGTACATGCATGTTTATTCGTGTTTAATGTATGAATGCTGAACTTTATCGTTTCCCCCCCATTATTATTGCTTACCCACATCTTACTTATCTTACTACATATGTATATGTATATATGTACGATATGTAATCCTCTTTTCTCTTTTCCTGCAGATTCGCATGCACATCACGAACAAATGGCCAATCAACAGCCGCCAGGCATCATTGGCGGTGTACCTGTGCCCGGTCCAATGACCGGTGCGACCAGCGCCACTGCCAGTCCGGCCAATATTGGCGGTGTGGTAGGTGCTGGTGGTGTGCCCGGAAGTGTTGGCCTCGGCACATCCGCCACCGCAGCGGTCAACGAGTTTAGCATTTTGAATTCATTTTGGTTTGCCTTGGCCGCCTTCATGCAACAGGGCTGCGACATATCACCGCGTTCCATCTCCGGTCGCATAGTTGGCGCCGCTTGGTGGTTTTTCACGCTCATTCTAATTTCATCGTACACAGCCAATTTGGCAGCATTTCTCACAGTTGAACGAATGGTGACACCAATCAATTCACCCGAAGACTTAGCTATGCAAACGGAAGTGCAGTATGGTACGCTGTTGCATGGCTCTACGTGGGATTTCTTCCGGGTAAGTACATACATACAATTGTGCGCATAGTTTGTATGCTAAATCGTGCATATACAGACATGTTAAGGTATAGCTATGAGGATGTGTTTGAAGATGTAGCGGAAGTAAGTATTTGACTCAGTGCGCAATTGGGAACATGCGTTATGCGAACGTATAATTTATGTTTGTATATATGTACATATACGCATTGCTGTATGTTATCCGGCTATACATATTTCTTTTCAACGAAATACTTACTTTGCCTTGTCCTCATCCACCTCTGGACATACCTCTCTTTTACCAGCTTCTCTAAGTTGGAAAATTCTGCGATGGTGATCCTGTTGTTGAGTCCAATAAAATAAGTATTTCTGGCTATCACAGAGTCCATCGTAGTCTGATTTTTCGACGTATACTCTACGTTTATAGCTGTTCGGATTCAGTAATCGCATTTACGTAGATTTCACGAAAAATTGGACTGTGATGGATTTCAGCTGGTATAACGATTTATACGACCAGATTGAAGAAGTCACACGACAGTGAGTGAGTGGGCAGAGCTCAAAATTGTGCTAAACGCGACCCTACTTAGACGTTTGGACATGCCGTCCTAGAGACAGCTTCTCTTCGTACTTCCAACAGCCTAGTCTAGGATCTTTTCCAAGATCTGGCTCACTTTAAGTGATGGTGGGCTCGCCAGGGCTGAAATTTCCCAACCTCCTATTTATTCCTCTTCTCTCGGCATCACGCAGCTTTGGCCATTGATAGGGTATCTGGGATTTCTCGTATTGCACTGCTTTAGCAACATGGAACTCTTCGTCTTAGGTGTCGCTTCTGCGTGGCTTTTAACAGACAACACCCTCTTCTGCAGGGGTACGATGAGGATGTAGAATTCCTTATTAAAATTTCGTGAATGCGCCGCGGCGGCTCTTGTGAGAAATTTCTTGGCTAACAGGTTTTTGACTGTTTATTTTCAAAGTCTAATTTAACAAAAGGGCATCGCCGTAAACTGCAATATGCCATCTTTAATGCCAAAGTATGCCTTCAGATGCCCCATTGCAAGTTATGTCAAAAAGTTGTTTATAACTTTAAAGTTGACTTATTTTGACTATAACTACAGGCCTATGACTTTTAGCAATGAATATTCTAAAAATTAAGTGAAATTAAAAGATATATGTTTTTATTTTCAAACCAATAAAAATTTAAAATTAAAATTAAATATAAAAAAGTTTCTAACAATTAAATGATAATAAAACAAATATGTTTCTTTTTAAAACAACGAATTCTAAAAATATAAAAAAAAAATAAATGAAATTCAAAACAAATTTATTTTTCTCTTTAAAATAATACAATCTAATAATTAAAAGGAAATTCAAACGAGTAATTTTTAAGCAAAAAACATAGTACCGTAAATTTCTTCATGACCAAATGGTCGTATCTAAGCGAAATTAGTACGGGACCACCCTTGAGGCAACGCCTCTCCGATAGGAAAAGAATTATCGAAATCGGTTGACGTGGTCCAAAGATAACATCCATGTAAAAAAAATATTCATATATATGTATATGGGGCGTTCCATACCAAAATGGACGGGGTTCACACTTCATGTGTTTCATTTGCTTCCAATTTTTGGGGATGGATAAACATAAGTTATAAACAAATATGAATTTTTTTTAATACTATTGTGATTTTCTTTCAAATGGCATATTTTCAAAAACTTATTTTTTTTTTTAAATTTGTATGTGAAAAATTTTTTAAGAAAAAAAAATTAAAATAAAAATGTATTTCTTGTTATAGAGAAGTTTGGTGTGTGTATGTGTGATTTTTTTCAAATTTTTTCCTTGCTCCATTCTCGGCATATTTGGAAAACTATTAAATCGATTTGTTTTTGTTTTTGTGCTGTAAAGATTTTAAAAATGTATTAATCAAATTTATCCATCAAACCTAAAAATTTTACACAAATCAAACACATGAAGTGTGAACACCGTCCATTTTGGCATGGAACGCCCCGATATATATTCTGACGAATTGATAACCTTCTCCTTTTTTTGAGGTCGGTTAAAAAGAGAATAAAAAAAGTGTAGCAAGTTATAAAATTAAAATTAAAAAAAGCAGAAAAGAAAAAATATAGAAAGAAAAAAATATCCAAAATTTAAAGTAATTAAAGAAAAATAAAATTTTAAATAAAAAAGAAAAAATTAACTACTAAAAAAACTATTTGTTATAATGAAAGAAGTCTGATGAGGAAATGTGGTGAAATAGCTATCACTTCTACCATTTTTTCAAATTATTGTTGCTTTTCCACAATAAGTTTTCATTAAAAAACGGCCTCGAGCTCAATAAAAATTGTTGAATATTAAAAAAATTATTAAATCTGTATATACTTACAAAAGAGTAGTAAATTTTTTACCGGAAATACATATAAAAATACAATAGCAAAATATTAAATCTTCGTAGTATTCCAATTATTCAAAAATGCATTGATCTAATATAGCTAAATAAGTAAAAAATAATAATATTTATTTACATATTTTAAAACTACTGAATTGCTCTCATCGTTCCTAGTGATTACTGTTGTATCCTTATACTGAGTACTCGACACACTTTTACATTTATAAATTTATGTAAGTCGAAAAAATGTACACTTTAAACGGCTTAAAGCCAGTAAAATAAACGAATTATTACTACAAAAGTGGTGCCAATTAAATCAAGCATTGTCGATTCCGTGCATTAAACGTTAACATACCTTTTTACAAGTACTACATATGTATGTATATGTTTCGAGTGTGAGTGCGCATGTATTAAAAAAACATAAAAATAAAAATATCTCAGAAGTTTCATTAATTGGCTGCTCGTTGATGCCAATGAAAATTCAAGTAACTTTTCACTTCATTTAATTTGCTGAATATTCAAGTTAGTTTTTGCTTTTCAAAAGTTTCTGTATCAGCTGTAAGAGTGTGTGTGTGTGTGTGTTTGAGTGTTCGAATGTTTGAATGATGATTTCTCAACCTGTGCCACGTAAGCGTACGTGTTTTTTAAGTATTAAATCAAGCTTTGATGCATGCGCTAGCATTTGCATACATGTGAACATTAGGATGCCTCACTAAAAAAAAAGTCGCAATTTTTTTACCGAAATTATAAAATGTATAATTTTTAAAGACTTTCGGCAAAATAATTCGGAGAAGTATTTAGATTTCCGTAAGCTAAAACGATTTGAAAAAAAAATCCAAAAATCGAATTTCTTATAAATAAAATTAAATTTTCCAAAAAAAACACCGCACATGGTAGAGTTTAAGCTGAAAAGGTCTACATAGAAATATTTGAACATTTTATTAACGGAATAAAAATAATAAAATTTTTTGGAGGCACTTTGAAAGCAGGCCAGCTCAAAAAAAATATTTTGGCGAAAAACCTAAAATTTTATAAGTTTTATAATTCCAACGAAAAAGCTAGTACCATTTTTTTTTTTGTATGGAAAGTGATGCACCTTAATACAAATACATATTTCATACATAAGCTCATACGTACTGCAGCTGCTTGTTAAATTTAATTTTATCGATGTATGCTGCTGACTTTTGATATTCCGACACATTTGATTAATTTGTGATGTGACTTCCACACACACACACATCGACGACGACGAGTTGAATTTTTTCTTTGAATTTAAACTTGCACTGATGTGCACACACACACACACATGTTGCTGAGTATGAAAGCATCTTTTTGCCAAGAGAATTTTGCTACAATCAAGAATACCAAAAAAAAAAACATAAAAATAAAATAAGTTTCGACTTTCCAAGTCTTCGAAGCACTTTAGTCCTGGCGATTCTGATTCTGTTTCTGATTCTGAAAGTTGCAGTAATAAAATTT